GTAATGGTATAGAAAAACAATGAACTGTGGAAAAAAGCAAATATTTTATCCAACCAAAAACCTTTATTTTTATAAAAGGGGAAATATACGACACCAGCTTGCTGGCTCCATCAAGTGATTGTACCATCAGGCATGAAGCATATAACGTACTAGCATGCTGGTACAATATTTATTTCTTTACAAATGGGGTCGAGGAAAGACCGTAATGATTAGAGCCGAAATTTCATAATTTTTCTACCATTTTGTTAAACATTGTTCTTTTTTTTAATTCACAACTGCAATATCGTGAACTTGATCTTCCACAAACACGGCGTTGACTCATATAATGCATGAAATTTCCGCCAAAATAATTTTAACTTAGAAAATTCAGCTAATTTCCCCACTCAGGACACCAGCAGCCGGTACAATCACACCACAAGAACATACACAGTCAATCGACTTGATGGGCCATTTAACAAATTAAGCATATTAAGGGCCGTAAACTTATCTATTTTAAACTATAGTTAAATCGTTAATAGATAAGTTAACAGCCTTAACACTTTTACAGATTGTATGTATAAAAACGTAAGGAACACACAATACATAAATGAAAAAAAAATGAGATCAAATTAAGCATATACATACAACCATCATGCGAAGTATAGGTAATTTTAAATTTATGTGGCCAAAAAAAGAATGGGGTAGCTAAATCTAGCCACCAATGGGCTAAAACGGCAACACTGGCTATACTCAATTCCGACTCTTGCGTGTTCGTTCGCGCACTTGGGCAACGCGCAGTGCGGCCGAAATTCAAAAGTGCGGCCAAAACTCGAAGGTTTAAAGAAGTTATTCGAAATTTCGTACTAAGGTGTTTTCGAGGTCGCTAATTACGAATCCGCTGTCAGAATTTAAAAATCTTAGAAAGGTTTTGAGTATGCAGTTTTATAGCTGACTCAATTTTGGTGTCACAAAGTGCAAGTTTGAAGTAGCTAGACCTTACCGTTGATTTTTGAGATTTTTTTTGTTGACAGCGCCAGTTATTTTCTTCCATACGAAGTATGTTCGATGATATGAAGAAAATGAGCAACACCTTCAACTAAAAAAATTTCCAAAAATCAACCGTAAGTCGCAGCTTCTTTAAACTTGCACTTTATTATACTTTAATCAAATGGGTCACAAAACTGCATACGCAAAATCTTTCTGTGAAATCTAATTAAAAAGCTCTAAATTTTTATATACTGGTGACGCTAATATGTATATGCGTGTTAAAATATATATATATATATATATATATAAGGAGCAGAAATGAGCATCTGAGTTTTATTTCCTTCTGTAGCTAATACTTTTCTATGTAAAATCCAATAGGTTTAAAGGCAGCATCCGACAGCGTGTTGTTACTGTTGCATTTAACAACTAAAATTTTTATTTGAAAATAAACGAAAAAATACCTTTACATTTTTATTTCTTAAAAATTTCTGTTACAGTATTTGTTTTCACAATTTTTTTAGCGTATTTTATTAACTTTCAGACGTATAACCCATTTGGTTTTGTTTGATTTCCTATCTATCTAACTATTTTATACGTTAATAATTTTTCGCTTTTTATTACAATAATGTGGTGCTTGGGAGAAGGACCCACTACAAATGAATATAAAGAGAGGACTTAGGGTACAGGTCATTACTGTGAACAGTTTTCGCTTCTTAGGTAATCCCTTTAGCCAATGTCAAAAAAGGCATATCTAGAAACTTTATTTTATCGAATTTTGGCCGCACTTTTGGAATTCGGCCGCACTGTGCAACGTGAGCAACCCATGTGCGAGTTGCGGGTGTCTGTCTTGGAACAAGCGGCTCGCTATATAAACGTCTATTCGGTTAGGAACCCACCCCTCCCAGCAATGGGTTGAGTGTTGGGTTCAGAACCCGCCACATAAAAATCACTTCCAATGAAAAACATACACAAAGGCTCAGATGAGACCCCCCTTTTGATGTCGGCCTTGGTAAACGTTTAAAGAACTACAATTTGACGGCATCTACCTGGAATGTCCGGACCTTTAATGGGGAAGATTCCCCTGCCCGGCTGGTTGATGTCCTCGGGTCATCAGCGCCATCCAAGAAATGCGTTGGAGGGGGCAAGGCAAGCCATGCGTATACACCGAGGCCCAAACATCGATTCGGACCCCTATCTTGTTGCAGCCAAGATACACATGCAAGGAAATCTTAACGTCGAAAGCAGAAAGCACTCTTCACAAAACCGACATATGCGAGCAGTGGAACCACGTTCCCACAACAGCCGACAACAGCGACATACGTACCAGAATGACTCGGGTTTTGCCCGACCAAAGGCTGTTTTTTCGGCGATCTAACTCTATTTAGGTCGGCGAAATCCATTAAACGTTGTGCGATAATGGGGCTACATCTGCTCTATATCCTTCTGCTCAGGGCTGGCATAGAGTCAAACCCAGGGCCAGAAATATACACTTGCTGAGTATACCAGAGACGATTGCATGTAAACTCCACCTCGGTCAGGTGCAACGCTTTTGACGGGTGGTGTCATATCCACACCTACTAGGGCCTAAGTACGCACCGGCAGTGAACCACGTTCGTTCGTGGCCCCATTCTGTGCGAATTGGACCGCCTCCGCAGCAAACCGCCACTCGCCCGAGCAGCACAACACTACGACACCCCAACATGACACAACAATATACATATATACGAACGCTGCAGAACCTCCACCCACACACCGCCGCCGGCAACTCCTAGTCCCTCCGACAATCTGCTCGGTTTGTCAGTACAGAATATACCGTAACGCGACATCAGTCAAGTGCAACTCCTGTCTTGGCTGGTGCCACTTTAGGGCATGTTCCGGACTCCGCAACACACGTGATTGGACGAGTGACTACGTGGACCCCTGTTGCGCTGCCCAGTCGCAAATTTCCCCCGCGACGCCTCGTATGACCACCACAAGACAGCACCATCGTGTGAAGCACATACAGCAGGGGCCGGCAGAAAACACAACTCACTCACACCCCACATACTAATTGGTCTCCCAAGGCACACAAAGGTGCTACAATTTAACTGTAATGGACTTCAGATTAAGATCGAGGAGTTAACCGTTGAATTGCGCCGGATACAATGTGCACCGTCGAGATCGCGAGGGAAATAATGATGGTGGCCTAGCGTTCATCACGCACCACACCGTACAGTATCGTCTTATCGAAGCAGGCATCGGCCCAAGGGATACCATCCTAGAATGTCAGGGCATTGCTATCCGGCCAGGCGATGTTGAGCTCGAAATATTTAACGTTTATATACCCCCGGCAGGATATCACCCCAATTGCGACGCCACTTCCTACACCACAGGGCGGCACCCTCCACAGAAGCGCACAGAGCCTACTTTTCTAAAACCGAACACATCCATCACACTCCGCATAACAACACGTCTCCCGAACCACATGAACCTCCTTCAATTCAACTGTAATGGACTTCAGAGCAAGATCGAGGAGATAACCGTCTTCATGGGATGTCATGTTATATTGATAGCTGTGGTCCAAGAGACGAAGTTGCACAGCAACTCAACATTGTTGAATAGCGCCGGATACAACGTGCACCGTCGAGATCGCGAGCGAGATAATGGTGAAGGCTTAGCGTTCATCACGAACCACACCATGCAGTATCGTCTTATCGAAGCAGACATCGACCGCAGGGATACCACCCTAGAATGTCAGGGCATTTCTATCCGGTCAGGCGATGTCGAGCTCGAAATATTTAACGTTTATATACCCCCTGTCACTAGCTTCCCGGCAGGAGATCACCCTGATATAGGTGCGCTCCTCAGAGGTGAAAACCGTATGCTAGTTTTTGACTTTAATGCACACCACGATCTTTGGTACTCAAGCCTGTCAAACGATCGTAAGTGAACAGACTTGGCTGAGCAGATAGACGATTCGACACTCTGCACAATGAACGACGACGTACCCACCGGGATTATGGGCAGCTCTTGCAGCTCGCCAGACATAACAATAGTCAGCGCTGGTCTGATAAACAGCGTATCATGGTGACCTATGTTGACCTTGACATCAGACCATCTGCCCACAGTCACCTCGATCGATAAACCAACCGACTTTGCTTCCGCGGAACACCGGACCTATATCAACTTTTCTAAAACTGAACCTTCGCTTCGCTCCCCACACCAACCGACGTCCACCTTGGTGAACGTAAGTTCCGCAGGGTTGTCAATGCTGCCGCAGCTCGCTTCGTACCAGCAGTATGCATTACGGACCCGAGTCCAAACTTCCCTGCTGAAGCGGCTTTTCTAGCCAATGAGGTAACAACCCTCGTCAGGCCGATCCCGGAAATCCCCGTGTCAGGGATCCCAACGCGGAGATTCG